TTGAGGCATAGACAGACAGACAGACAGACAGACAGACAGACAGACAGACAGACAGACAGACAGACAGACAGACAGATCATGCAGCTGCAAACGCACAGTTTTCTAAGCACAAAGAAGAGAAAGTTGACTGTTTTTGATCAAGAAGAAACAAATGACCATTACTCCGGCTTCTGTAAAGTTGGGTACGGTATTGCAGACTTCACGAACTAAGTCCAGCCAGTATCGTGGTCGAAATGTTCAGTGTTTCCGTAGATGGTTCTTTGGCGGACTGTTTACTCCTGAAAGACAAAGAACCAGAACTTATTACTTTCATGACAAGGTGGAGAATACCAAAACTTGGACTGTCTGATTACCGTTGAAAAGGAAGCGGGACCAAGAAAGAAAGTACGTGAAAATTAAGAGAGAAAAGGGGGGGGGGGAAATAATTTTAAGACAGAGACGCCCAAAAGGGTATAAGCGGCGGATAAAAGAAAGTTTACTCCTGTTTTTTGGGGGATAGCCTTCTTAGAGCAGCCCCAAAACCAAAAAGTGTTGATTGCAGTATGCCATTATGTGTGAAGCGTGCTGACAAAATGAGTTACTTCTCGCAATCCTTGAATGGAGATGTAGGCCGAAAATAGACACCTCAAATTTGTAAATGTTTAACTGATTTATTTTTTCCAAGTTTATTGCCTTTAACCTTTTCGTATGTTAAATTATTTCAACCCAAACTATAACTTTGATATAATAAATATCTGTGTCCATAGGATCAGAATTCGAAAAGTAACTCATTTTGTCTGCATTCTTCACATTTGTCTTTTAACTCTAGCTCCAGGGAGTGGGGTGCCTCTTGAACAAATTGGAGGAACAACGATGAAATTGTTTCAAAATGTTCAGCAAAAAGAATTAAGATCTTTATTTTGAAGAACGAAACAATCAATAATGTTGTCATCACAGCCATGAATTATGTTTATGTTATATAAAAATCTTCTTGTTCTTCTTGTTCTTCTTGTTGTTGTTGTTGTTGTTGTTGTTGTTGTTGTTGTTGTTGTTGTTGTTCTTCTTCTT